TGGGTCGGCTCGACCGGGGAAGGACCACGCTCTCACAGAATACCAGCGTCAAATAGCAGCTTAATGCTGCTGTGTTTCATATGGTGAGTGAGAGTAAAGAACCGGAGACCCTTTTTACTGGAAACGAGGCATTCTATCTCAGTCCTTAGGGCTGGCAACGCATCTGCATTTTGACTCTTAATTGAAGATAAATGTAGACGTCTATGGGCCACAGCATCCACTTACCATCAGGTGGACTGTGTGCTCGTTTGTCACCCTTATTCTATAAAAATATTCCAATCGTGTTAACGTGAGTATGAAAAAATACAGCAACAATAATAGGATTCTCTTTTTCTTCCTTATTAACTAACTGACTAGTCCGCTCTTTGATATAACCACCATCATCATCAGTACAGCCCTTCACAAGTCCACTGCTGAATATAGGCCTCCCCAAAGGAATGCCACAAAACTTTTGGTTTTGGTTGAGAGCCACCTCCATCCATCAACTACGAGTACCCGCCAAGTTTAACTAGGTCGGCTAACCATCTAGTGAGTGGCCGCCCTACACTTCGATTACCGAGGAGCTAAGTTAGGCTGCCACTCCAGAACCGACCCACTGTCACTTGCTCCTGGGCAGGAATCATTCCAACTGGGGATATTATGATAGCCATACAATTATCTTGTGTTTACTAGTTGTATCGAAAGAAAGAATCGATACCTACTTGGTATTCGAAGAAAATATTTTTTTTTACTCGTATTTATATAATCGTTGGTATTTACATCTGTTAGTGATCGCGTAACTTTTGAACGGCTTGAACGATTGCATATTCACATTATGAGTATCATATTCACAGAAAATATTTCTGCGTCGAAACAATAGGTTTCATAGTAATGCTAGTTTCTGATAGGTTAGTGCGCTCGTCAAGTTTTTAACATCTTCTATATGTTATGTATATGGGCCAAAATGACTCAAATTCATACTCTTATACAATTCTCAGAAAATCTGGACCCAATAGGTGGCGCTGTGGTCGAAATATTAAATAAGGGAAGGGTCTGCCGGACCACTTAGTACTTGTACGAGTATAATATGTAGGTACTGGTACATACATTCTCGTATGTACTTGTACTTGTATAAAGTAAAGTAAAGTTACAGCCTATATACGTCCCACTGCTGGGCACAGGCCTCCTCTCATTTCTGAGAGGGTTTTAGCAGGAAATGTCCGCCACGCTGCCCCAGTGCGTGTTGGCGAACTTCACATGTCTTCGAAATATTTTTTTCTTATTTCTCAGACATGCAGGTTTCTCCACATTTTATTACTTAAATAACTGTAAAAGAATTTTTTGTAGTTACATCAGAAGTTGATTCAATATTTTTGTTGCCGCTCTCTCCTTTACCGCAGGCGGGTTGCCTGGTGCCTGCGCGCACTCCGCGGATGCCTAAAACAATAGACCACGTGCCGCTTACATAATTTGTTACATCATTACATTTAATGTTGTATGGACATCGACCGAGTTGCACGTGTCCGCTCGTTATCAGACATAGAAACTAACTATTCCAATATACTTAAACACACGAAAGATTAAATCTGCAAAAACATTAATGTTTACAATCCATTATAGAATATTATATGCAAGAATAATAAAATATTATGTACTTTAGAATCATTAGTATTAACTAAGAAACACAGAGGAATCGTAGTAATTATATACTCTTTGTTCCACAAAGGCGCTGTTTTATTCCCCTTTTCATTAATCAATAAACGAAATACCTCATTATACACCAATATATGTATATGAAATAAATGAAATAACAACAACAAAAGGAAATATATAAGAAGGTACAATAGGAGGTCTTATCACCCTAAAAGCAATTTATTCTAGACAACACTTTCCATATTGTAGAGATGGCAGAATATTTAATAAAATCGACTTTACATTAACTTAAAATCTAAGGCGTACATTACACGCTCATGCAGGCGTCAATCAATTTCATCAATCATGATTGATAAAAAACGGATGGCGACTGATAGGCGTATTACGTGCTCATGCAGGCGTCGGTCAATTCCATCAATCATGACTGATAAAAATCGGATGGTGACTGATAGCCATACATTAAGCGCTCATGCAGGCTTCAATCACTGCGTTACACGGTAGGTTATTCGTCAATCATAACCGTAGTTGTTGCAAAACTGACAGCCTGCATGAGCGTGTAATGTACGCCATACACGCTCATGCAGGCCTCAATCAATTCATTCAATCATGATTGATAAAAAACGAATGGTGACTGATAGGCGTAAGGTGTATCCTAATTCAATAAAATCTCAAAAAATCAGCCATTTAACACGCATTCTTATATTTTATACAAACTACGAACAATTATGTACATAATATGATAATATTTTTTCAGCGTTTTTAATTTTCATCTTTGCCGATGACATCATAAGCTTATTTTTTTCTATTAGTAATTAAACAGACAATTTTGACTTTTAGTCGTTAATTATTATTTTTGAAAAAAACGAAGTGCTTATGTTATGCTCCAATTTAAAGCAGATCCAAGCAAAATTAAAACCAGTTACCAGCTAATTTCTAATGACTGGTAAGTAATTTCTCGTGCGACATGTTGCAGAGCTACAATATGTATGTTATGACTCTACAGAGCAACGCATTATAATGCGTTGCTCTGTAGAGCAAACGTATAAACCAATTTGACAAATTGCGCGTCTTCGGATCGCTCTTAGGATACAAGCACGATGATTATCTTGTTACTTATTAGTAACTGGAGTTTGAAACGAGTTTTCTGAGCTTCGCGTCGTGGGTGACGGGCCTTAGAAGATCGAGTAAGATCGCAGCGGGACGTTTGGATATTGTAATTGATTCTGATCCTAATTCCCTCGTCATATTCGACGTAATTGCCGATTGACGAGATAAGTCAAATTCAATCTTGGCCAGTGCGTCGATCACGGCCGGCCGATCCATTATATCGACCAAGTGTGTATTACTGGTCATAGACGATACAACAAGAGATGAATAATGATATTTGTAATGTCTGCTTATTTACCTTTATTTATTTAATTTTTAGATTTATTCTATTGTACTTCTTAATTTCTTTATAAACTTCTTCTCGTATTAATTTCGTATGATAAAGGGTAAGTATTATCACACCACAAATTTTCTTCAAAAATTTATGGTGTGATAATTGGCTGCAATTAGTCATGATTATTTTGATTGAAAACTCATTATTTACTCTACTTTCACTTTCACTGATCCCCAGCAGCACTGATTAAATTATACAATAGCAATTTTACCATATGCTCAGAGGTGAAAGATAACAACGTGGAAAATTAACCATGTCTAAGATTTTAAAATCCGTCAAAACGTATTAAGTTAGATCCAAAAGTCGGAAACAAGAGGAAGCCCGTACCCAACAGTGGGATATATTATTATATAAGCTGTTACTTTCATTGAAGTAAATATTATTTACTAGAAGAGACACCGCGAATAAAATCTATGCAGCGCGGCATGGTTGGAGCAGAGTACCGTGTTATGGCAAATATAGAGAATATAACTACCGTGGTTATATAGGTCTTTGGGCACAGACTAAGTTTGAGGCCGTGGGCTCTAACGCCTGTTACAAATACTAAATCTCAGGGTCTCTTCTAGTACGCAGTACATGTTACTTCAATAGTTACTTAACTCTATTAAATATGCTTACTGCCAATAATTATAAATTCAGAATTTTATAATGAAACGGATGTGGGCAACCTAAATTAGGTAAGGGCGATCATGCGGGGGAAGTGAACCCGTGAACTACATACACATTTGACTTGCGGAGGCGACACATCGATCACAATTAATTACTGATTCAACTGTCAGGCTTTATCTCACGTTACAAAGATTACCAGTGTTTTCGACGCGTCCACCACGGTAACGAAGCATTTTTCGATTATATCAATCGATCATTGTACCTCAATACCGATTAATTTTTTCTCGGCTCGATACCTAATACAAACATATGTTCGAAAATTGAGCTTGAAATGTAAAATTAGGGTCATGATGATGATGATGCCTTTTACGCCTGATCGAAGTTATTTGGTCGGCTGTTTTGTATTTCAGATATAATTTATAGGGTGATTCCCTTGAGGCGCGAGATCCTTCAGACGTATGTTATTATTATAATATATGCGGTAAAATTATTTTTCGCGCATCAATGTGATGTTGCAGAAATAATTATTAGGTTATGTAATATAAACTTGCCAAATTACAAGAAAAATTTGAAAACGCACCAGCAGTATATTATTATACATACTTTATTTTCAATTACGTTTCAATTTCTTAAGATCGTATTCTTTTTCATAATTTTAATTTAGTTTTTTTTAAGAATTATCTGTCGTTTATTGCTGCCAGCAAACGTGGAGAATTCCGTTGTTTTTAATAAATATTTATAAAAATAAAATCGCACAACTATAGTTTTCAAATGTACCGCATACTATTTTTAAAACTAAAATTAAAAAATCCTTTTTTTCCTTTTAAAAAAAAACCGTTACCTACACAAAAACATAAATACACTGCATACTTATAGACAAACATCCAGAAAGGAACAATTCTTTTTTGTAGGAACAATAGTTTTTTCGTTCGGGATTTGAATCCAGGTTGGCTAATTACAATGTATCATGCGAGTACCTCCGAGCGGCAGCACTATGCGCACTTCAAAAGAAGATACAATTTGTACGTCATTAGTCATATCACGGTACATCTAAATGACAGCACGACGCGCGAAATATGCGCCGACAAAAAACTTACACCAGTTTAATATTAACGGTACAGTCATATTACAACAATCTAACTAACGCGTGACTTGATGCCTCGCAATGAGGGTTTTCTGAAATGTTCCCCGTGAGATGGCAGCGCTGTAGTGTCAGGTCCAACTACCTGTCAAAACACTTACACGATTTATATTTTTCGATCATTTTTTTGGTTTATTTATCCTTAAAAACGTTACAAACAGAATATTGTTTTCCAAAATGCCACAGTGTTGTGCAGTGCCTATGTGTGCAAATAAAAAAGGAGGGCATAAGTTCCCTACAGAAGATAAAAACCGATTAAAACAGTGGCTTGTAGCCATTCGCAGAGATAAATTTACTCCAACGAAAAATAGCCTCGTTTGCAAAAGCCACTTCACAAAGGATGATTACCAGCTACCGAAGGACTCAGTATTAGAAAAACGTAAGAATATTTTGTACTTATTTATAATGATAAGCTTCAGTTAAGTCACCTTGATTATATCTGTGCGCGACTAACCTTCAATGATGTAGTGTAAACGTTTTTTAGTACTTGCCTTATCAAAAATGATTTCATTATGACATTATATTTATTGAATTATTATTCCAGCCAGGCCTGTGTTGAAAAAATGTGCAGTGCCAAGTCGATTCCCATGGATTGACCAAAATTCTAGTTTGCATCAAAAAAAGAAGGAGCGGCATCAAAGGCGTTTGGCGCGAAATGAAAGGAAAATTAGTGTCCAAGTACACATAAACAATGAAAAAGAGAAGGATGACACCTTCCTCATGGAAACTACAAACTTTTTCGAAGTAGAAATTGAATTCGAGAAGAAACAGAATGATGTTGGTATCCAATGTGATTTATGTGGAAGTGATAATCTCAAAACACTTAAAGAATGTCTTCAAAATGAAAATAAAAATAAAAAATCTTCAATTGCAAATGTGCTAGATATAACCAATGCGGCCGAAGTACAGTTTTATACTGGTTTCCAAGATTATGAACATATCAAATTCATATTTAGTATTTTTGGAGATGAAGTAAATTGTTTAAAATATTATCCTCAACTGAAAACATTGAAGGTGCCGTTTCTAAACCCTTGTGATCAATTCCTTCTAGTGTTAATTAAATTACGCCGGAACATGCTATTTACAGAACTCGCCTTTCGATCGAAGATTAATAAAACGGTACTAAGTAACATTTTCATAACATGGATCAATTACTTATATTGTAAATTGAAAGAGTTAAATGTTTGGGTGCCAAAACAATGCATAGATAAAAATATGAAATACTATGGCAAGATTAATCCATGCACTGTGATAGTAGATTGCACGGAAATAAAAATAGAGAAGCCCAAAAATCCACTTACACAACAGCTTACATATTCCACTTACAAATCAGCAAATACTCTAAAAGTTTTAATTGGGATTTCAGCATCAGGCTGCGTTACATTTGTATCCGATGCATATGGTGGATCTACGAGTGATCGTGAATTGTTTGAAAAATGTGGACTTATTGATAAACTTGAACCTAATGATATCATTTTTAGTGACCGTGGCTTTAATGTACAAGACCTAGTGTGCCATAAAGATGTTACAGTTAATGTGCCAGAATTTTTAAAAAATACTGATGGACAATTTGAGACTTCTCAACTGACAAGGTCAAAAAATATATCTTCAGAACGGATACACGTTGAAAGGGTCATTGGTTTGGCTAAAACTTTTAAGATCTTAAGCGGCAAGTTGGATTCAAAATTGGTGCCTTTAGCAGATAGAATAATATTTGTATGTTTTATGTTAACCAATTTCAAAAATAATATTATAAAGTAAAATATGTTTTTTTCAATTTTATTTAATTGATGTCGCTTTTAACAGTACTGTATTAAACATACTTTATTAAATAATAACAAGAATACAAAATTAAACTTTGTTCTAATTTCTATCACATAGAATCTTAGAATATACTATAAAAATATATTAACAATCATACATATTTTTTGCTATCTTTGGCAACATAAATTGAAAAAAGAAAGCTTTTACTCGAGGGATTATAATATTTTGTATAAATGAATCATTTTTTTTAACATTTATTATTTTTTCATCAACATTAGTCCATATAAATAAATCACAACAATCTCTTCCTGTGACAAGTAACTGCGTTTGGATTTGGTAATAATAGTTGCTTGTTTCTTTCAGTTGCAAATCATGCTCTAAATGGAAATAATTGTTGGATCCAATCATTTCATCCTTTATGGAATATGGACATTTAACTTCTAAAATTTTGTTATCTCCAATTAATCCATCAGGAGAAGCGCCAATGAAAGGGTACTGCACAGAAACATATAAACCACAGCGTTCTACTTTTTTTTCCAGTTTTCCCCTCATATGCTTCAATTGCTGTGGTTTCCATAGACTTGCCCCATTCTAAGGCCGTGCTTACTATTTTCTTATTACATATAAGGCTTTGTGCATACTTTTCTTGGTCCTTTTTAGCAGTAAATTTACAAATCTCACCGACTCTTGAAGCAGTCACTCGAAAAGATCGTTCTGTATGCCATAACTTTGTCTTCGTCTGATTTTTAGTTTTCTTTTCAATTTCCTTTGCTGAGTCAGGTGTAACCTGTTAGGGGCAAAGGATAAGGAAAGTATGAAAGTATAAACCTAAACAAACATCTACAATCCCTATGCAAGTGCAATTAATATTGATGATTACATAATATACTAAATAATAAAAAAATATAGTAGCTACAACTTCTCATGATTCACCACCTCGCTTGCTACAGTACAGTCAATAAGATTGTACAAGTCGTAGCTACTATAATAAATAAATTCATCTGGAATAAATGGCTTACAGATATTTTATTAAGAATAAGTTGATGATGTAAAGGAAAAGGTAGGTAATCATGGTCATGTATCACATCTTGCATGTTTGCACTGTCCAAAATTCCACATAATCCTATTCTTTTTTGTGACAATGAGCAGTAGTTAATGACTTTATTTCTAACTGTTGTAGCCCATTCTTTTCCCTGACTGATAAAGGACTGTGGTCTTGGATCATAGCACACACTTCTTTTCTTTTTTTTGCAAACATTATATTCTGCTATTTCATATGAAAGGTTCTCTGCTTTTTTCGGCGAAACATCAAGTTTATTTTTTTTAGGTACATGCCATACTTGTTTTTTTTGTGTTGGAGTCATTTTAATTAACCATATATTCTGCTCTCGGAATTTGAGTATAGCATAGCACAAAACTGACACATGCTTGCAAATGGCTTTTGGTCCTTTCCCTGCTACACATTCACACACCGATTGTATAATAGATCCACTTCCATTACATATGGCAATGGAAGCAAAATAAGTGAGGGCTTTTGTATTTTCAGAATGGACTTGACCTTTGAAAAATATATGTGTACTAGTATTTGCGGTCACTAATGCGAGTAGGTAGTTATTTTGCAGCATATTATAACCTCTTCTGTGCACTGCAGAATAATCTGACATTCCTATGCCGTCTTTATACAATTCAAGGAAATACGTATTTATGTTAATAATGTCAAAATTGGGTAAAACTGTTTTTGAATCTACACTTTTGTATAACTTTTCTTCTGGCCATTCTATTACATAATTAATCTCACTTAAGAGATGAGAATTATCATTTTCATTTGATTTGAAGTTGTTGTTTCTGTCATAGTCATTTAGTCTGGAATATATAATATACATTAATCAACAACAACTCACTAAAACACAAATAACTTCAATTTAGTAGTTAAAAAAAAAAACAATCAAATTGTGGAAACAAATAGAAGTAGATTATGTTTACCTTTCAATGAGCTTTTCTTTAGTACCAGTGACTTTTGCGCCTCTCTTTTTGAGCTCAATTTTCAGTTCGGCAACCTTTCTTTGGCCGTAATCCATAATAAAATCAATAACTCTTCCAAATACATAAAATTTCACTAAAAAAAAATAATACGTTCGGTAGGAATCTGTGCTATCTGACAGCTGTTTGGACCTGACGCATACGAAGCACCGCCTGGCGGCAAAAAAAGTATCGGAAACCCTGATTACAATGATTGTTTTTAATAGCCGACAATGACATAAGTGTTAGTAAAAAAGAAATATTACATTATGTAAAAGCGAATTAAAAAAAAGCTGAAGTACCAAACGAATTTACAGTTGCAGTTATTTTACAGTTACTATCCGTGGCCACCTGCAGCCAACTTCAAACAAAGACAGCTACAGATGCGTTATCAATTTGAGATACCTCAAAGCCTGTTATTGTATCAGCTTTCTATACCTTTCAGGCCGGCGACAACAACAGGTAATAGGGTGGAATATACACAGACGGACTCGAAAGGAGGGAGGAGGATGGAGGACGGACTAGACAGGAAAGGAATCCTACCGTCTATATACCAGACGGTAATTTAGACGATATTAAATATGTTGTCATTTGATATTACAATTAACTCAAGCATTTTATATAAGCAACGAAGGGAAATTAAGCAGGATATAGGCATCTTCCTGATGACAACTCAAAATAATGAAAAGTTGCGGATGCCAACCCGTCCGCCAATGTTACCAACTATAGTAAATATCTCCCATAAGTTATTGTGGTGGATATACTTGTTTTATGAAGTATATAATAATAATAATAATAATATATTTTTTTATTTACTCTCACAATTTAAATTAACAAGTTAAAGTATAAACAATGTAGACTATGGGCAGAGAGTCTGGTTTCTGTTCTAGGTGAAAGCTTGTGTTACGAATCACCAGGGTCTCCATCTCAGGATATTATGAACATAACTGAACAACTTATTTGTTTGATTAACAATTGAGAGATATTGTATTATTAGTTACTTTTGTGTTGTGTGTGTGTGTGTGTGTGTGTGTGTGTGTGTGTTTGTATGTGTGAGTGTGTGTTTTGTGTGTGTGTGTGTGTGTGTGTGTGTGTATTTGTGTTTGTGTGTGTATGTATGTGTGTGAATGTGTGTGTGTGTGTGTGTGTGTGTGTGTGTGTGTGTGTGTGTGTGTGTGTGTGTGTGTGTATCTGTGAGTTGTGTATGAATGTATGATCTATCCAGTACTAAAACTATGTATATGAAATAAGAAGGTTTTCAGTGGTCTCATAGTCCAGACTTAACAACCATTGAGTTACTTTTAAGTTGCAAGTGCGTTTATTAAGAGGATATATACCAATTCTAGCGTTTACTTTATTATATAGAATTTTACCCAGAAAGTTAAAAAATTTATGAGAAAATTTGGTGCAATGCGTGTTGTAGTAACAGACTAGATCATTTCTACGCTTATCTTTTATCAATTGTAAATTATAGTGTAAGAGTGAGTGCTTTTTAATGATATGGGGAAGTGTAATGTTTAATAGTGCAGTTTTGATAGACTGTAATGAATGATTGTATAATGTATTTAAATCAACACTAGATTATTTTATTCCTCGCACAACTTTCTTATGAAATCTAGTGCCACCAGATATTTTTCCGGACCGATACGACTTAGTGACCTTCAAGAAAAGAGCGTACTCCTTTTTAAAAGACCAGCAACGCACCTGCAATTCCCTGGTGTTGCGGTTGTTCATGGGCGGTGGTAGTCACTTACCATCAGGTTAGCGGCAGCTCGTTTGCCACTATCCTATAAAAATAGAAGCGTTCTTCACTCGGAACTATATCCTCCAAGCCAGGAATGCGTAGCTCTCAGACATGTCCATATTTTCCTCCTAATAAAATAAGTAAAGTTACAGCCTATATACGTCCCACTACTGGACACAGGCCTCCCCATATTCCTGAGGGAGTTTTAGGAGAAGGAAGTATCCGCCACGCTGCCCCAATGCGTGTCTTCGAAATATATTTTTTCTTATTTCTCAGGCATGCAGGTTTCCTCACGATGTTTTCCTTCACCGCCAAGCAAGTGGTAAATTAGCACTTAAAATTGCAATTAACAATTTCATTGGTTCCGGCGGGGATCAAACCTGGGTTACTCGTGTTCTGTTATATTTACAGCGAGCGTTAACCGTCTGAGCTACCACGACTCTTTACTGAACCAAAGTGTAAAACATGCAAAAATCCTACTAGTACACAAAGTATACAAAGTTTCCGAAAGCCATTAAGTCCAATTAACCAGTTGAAAAAATAATTTTTAACTATTTGTCGATAGAAACACAGATAATAAATTAGCTGGCATGCGCTAATAACACGATCAATAGTGCGGTTCATTTGTCAAAAACGCGCACGGCAACCAGCGACGTGACAACCGACTTGTGTTTACGCAACTCCAGCGCCAAAACTAACAGAGCCGACCTCACTTGCAACACTTGATTGATTAAAAAAATATATTCCATTGTTTTCGTTCACAAAGGCTTCGTGTAATTGTGGACTAGATTATAAAGTTAAGGTGTAGAAGTAGGTTTGTACCTTGCGAGACGAAGTATTGTTTTTTACCGGTCTAGATGACTCGGAATAGATGTCTTAATGTTTAAATGTTTTTACCCGTTGTAGTGGTGATGTAAGCGTATCCACTACCCCGTATCGTCCAGTTAGTGCCGTTAGAGGCGAAAGAGGGAAACTGAAACAGCATATGGACAGTAGCATCTTCACAACAACTCAAAATAATAAATAACGGTGGCTGAATAAACTCCCCACCAAGTTGCAACTATGGCAAAATTCCCCCTATAAGGCAATCTATGGGGGAGATTTAATATGAAAGCGAGCTTTACGTATGGTTCATGGACTGTTAAACTTAAGCGTGGGATGATTAACGAGAATAATTTTAATAGAAATTGAAAAATAATTTCGTCCCGTTGATGTAGAAAGAGGTAAGGGAAATTCTAGAGAAAAGTCATGCCTGTACATAAATAACGGTTTACCCTTTTTGTTTAGACTGACGAGGATAGCAGTAACGAAAGGACAAAACGTATGGTACTGAGATCGCTAATCTACTCGTTGTAATTCATTTCTTTTAAAGAGAAAGGTCTAGATCCGGCAGTGCATTTTGAAAGTCTCATATCGATGATATGAAAAAAAAATCAATAGAACTTGCCAAATTCTTCAAGTCTTTTGTACCACAATCATACGTAAGTTTAAAAACTAATAGTTTGCAGAGTTTTTCATTTTTATTGTATTTTTAATTTGTTTCATGAACGTTTTCTTCGAAAAGCCTCCGAAATTAGCTTTTTACTCAAATTACTACCGAAAATCGTCACAGTATTCGTGAAATTTTACATTTGCTGTGAAATTTCATATATTGTGTATTACATTTTAAGTTCGCATATTTCCGCAGGACTTCCGTGAATTGATTTTAGTTTAAACCTAAGACTAAATATAAACTACTTTTTGTAATAAGGCCGATTTAGTGTGGTCAAACTTAAGCGTTGAAAATTGTAAGTTTTTATTTTTAAAAACAGAACATCGCATCGAGGAGTAGTACAAAATTGAATTAAGTTAAAAATTGCATAAATGCATTATGTATTACACCTTACAGACTTCTCAGAATAAAACTGATGTTAACAACCGAAGGTTTTGTGCAAAAAGCGACGGATAACAAAAGTGTATTCAAATTGCGCATGCATGATTGCGCTAAGAGTGGGAGACCCCATCATTTCGGAAGCCGCAATCGAGCAAATAAAACTCGCTTTATAAATTATAAAGCCGAATTTTTATCCTTCAAGTGATTGACGTGAAAAGGGAAGTTAATTTTTATGGGCACGCGGCAAACAAAATGCACACGGGCACTGTACTTACGCGGTAATATTTTCAAAATGGTTGCCAAGATATCCTGAACCCCGTCGTGTGCGCTCGTGAGTGATTGCAGCTGGTACACGAATGGAGGCATCTAATTGCTATGTGCATTGCTTTTTAAAACCTTTTTCGGATATGTGCAATGATGCGGTGATTCTGATTTATGGCCAAAATAAGCAGCTGTTTTTGTAAGAGGATCGCAACGAAATAATTTCCGCTCGTGCTGTACCTCGCGTCAAAATCTTATTACGCCATCACCGACAGGTTTTCTATTCTATAATGTAATAAATGAATTTTATTAATGGCTTTGTGCTCTGATACGTGATTTCGTCTAATAACTTCGGCGTAACTGTAGCCGCTTCGGGACCGTCTAGTGTGGACGCTGAGTTCTTTTGATGGTATAATGAAGGGTTTTTATTAAATCAACGTCAGAAGTCCATTAAAGATGGGCCCAGACGCAGAGCGTGGGCCATCAATCACCCGCGAGATACGGGTATAAACAAGAAACTATAAAAAGGGGATCTGGACACAAAGTTTGTTCTTATTTTTGTTTTGAATTTAAATGTGCGTACAGTTTAACAGTATAACATTGGTTGTATTCTTAATAATATGTTTTTTTTATAACGACAGCCAGTGGTTTAAGTGAGGATGAATGCACTTCGATGTATCTTAAAGCTGAAATAATATTCTGATGTGCTTGGCTACTGCAGCTTTTATTTTTATTTTTATTATTTTTTTAAAAACGTAACCCCCTCCTCCACACTAGAATTTCTCCTGTATCGTGGGGGCAGTATACATACATAAATTTACCTATTAGACCTGGAACAATTATTTGTAGGCCGTACAAATACGTGTTCCGTGCGGGATTTGAACCCGCGGCCACCAGTGCTGCAACTCATAGCTTAGCTACTGCGCCACAGTGCATTTAAGGATTAAGAATTTGTTTAGATATTGAAGAGGATGTCAACTTGACAATTGCTGGGAACAAGGTTATGTTTTCACACATACGAGTAATATACTCCTACAAGACGGCCTTAAATTAAAATTTTGGAAATAATTGCTATAAAAATATCCTATGTCGTATTCCACGGCATTATCGAATCTATACCAAATTTAAATCATAAACATTCAATAACTTTTTAATATAATAAGGATATACGGTATAAACGATATAAGGATGTATAATATCATGTAGTACTATATAAGGGGACATATCTTAACGGATTAGTAAACGGAAGTAGCAAAGGGCGAGCCTATAGGTAAAAGAACCGACACGTGATGGTAAAGGAAGGTTCACGAATGGCAGCTTCGTAACGGTAAGCAAGGTATTGAACTGCCCTCTACGAAATTAGGTATCTAACGACCGCCTATTGTACATATTCTAATTTAGATTTAACTGTACTTGATGTTTTGTATTTTCGTGTACAATAAAGAGTAAATAAATAAATAAATAAATAAATAACGACTGCTAAGTCATGCAGGGACTCGATGGATGCAGGTGGCACAAGACCGTGTTTTATGGCATTCCTTGGGAGACTTATGTTCAGCAGCGGACTTCTGAAGGGCTTTAATGATAATATTAATGATATAGTACGATGCACTTTATTATACAGGATGATTTTTTAACTGTCTGGAAAAAACAGGGTGTAACGCAGGGTGAGCGGAATAAAGGCCTATGGCACTGATATTTTACATTTTTTTTGCTTTTACATTAACATATTACGAAATTGAACTATAAATAAATACCACTAGATTGAAATAAACTTTCGGTAATAAAAAAATAAAAACAAAAATTTTGAACTATATAAATAAATCAATTAAAATCTATCGAAATTAAAAGTAATACGCACCCAAAGTTTATTTCAAATTTATGGTATTTATTGATAGATCAATTTCATAATATGTTAATGTAAAACAAAATTCAAATATCAGTGCCATAAGCTTCTATTCCGTCCTCCTGTTACACCCTATTTTTTTCCAGACGGTAAAAAAATCACCCAGTATATTAAATGAAATGGATTTATAATTACGGGCTGTGAACTGTGACTCATTCCATCTAAGTCTGTAGAAGTGACAACTCTTGTGTAGCCTTTTTTTGTTTGAAGTTGGTGGCAGGCGTCCATGAGCTGTAGCGGCCACTTACCATCGGTTTGACTGTTAGTTCTTTCGTCTCTACGGTTTCATTAAAAAAAATAGTAGTAAACTGAAAAGGTATGAAGTTTTATACAAGGGGACCCTAAACATTAATGTTGTTATCAATATGTCTCAGTAATGAAATAATATAACACTGTAGTCAGCTCGGACGTCGCGCATTAATCCGCTGTCGTGGAGGGTTGGGAATTAATATTAGGAACTAATAAAAGGATCGTTTAAAATTCAGTTACAATGTTGCGATCTCTCCGTAGCTAACAATTAAGTCGGAAATAAAACAATAACTAAAGTAATGGATATATGCTATTTGTCTCGATACAGCGATAGTCAAAGTTTTAGATATAAGAAAATAAATATTGTGATGTTTGTGAATACCGTTGTTTTAAACAAGGGTACTACTTGAAACAAGGCGACTACTACTCGCCTTACTTATGGAATAGGCCAGAAAAATGGCTCCCGTAAAATGCCGGTATATCGTCTTATATAGAGTAAGATTTTGGGATATAATGGAATTAGATGATAAACGAGCATACAGTTCACATGATGTAAAGTGTGTGCTATGGCCCATAGACATCTACACCTTAATTTCTGAGGACGAAGATGGAACGTTTCGTTTCCAGTAATAAGGGTCTCCGGTTCTCTACACTGACCATACGAAACACACCAGCAATGAGCTGCTATTTTACACTGGTATGCCGTAAGATCGTATCTCTTCCCCGGCCGAGCTGACCCATTCATGCTACAACCATAATATAGCTGCAGCTTGACTCTACCACGTAAAAAAAGCTACAGCCTATATACGATCCACAGCTAGGCACAAGCCTCCTCTCATAATTGAGCGGATTAGTGGGGATCGAACCCACGTTGGTCGCATACTGTGAGTTAACGGCAAGCGCTGAACCTTTAAGCTACCATATAATTAAGGTATTCATAGTAAAAGTATAGAATGTCACATGAACTGCCTGCTTATATATGCGTCGAATCTCCAACCACTATTATAGATCTTTTATCGAATGATAGGCAATAATACTTTTAGTATTCTACTCATCATAATACCTGAAAAGGTTAAGTTCATACAAATGCATTTGGGCGCTGCGCTGGCACTGACACGAAAACGAACTACATTTTTTTATTTATCTATATTTCTTACGTGTCAGAGTTGCCGCTCAAACCCTTTTAAAGGTATTATCTGAGCAATGTTTACGAGTCATTAGATGACTCTGCTGAAAAAAAAACGACAGGTTTTTAAGAACTTCGTGAGCGGCGTACGACCTTGCATACAGCCCCTTAAATTGTTTTGGGGATTTATGACATAGAGGGTTATTTCCTTTATTGAGAGGGCGTTATTGTGTGGATTTATGAATTTAATAATTGGTGGGAGGAACAAAAATGTTTTCATTAAATTTCTAATTACTATTACATCACGATACTTGTACTGGTGGATTTATCAAGTTTAATTATAACTTATTTTAACTTTTGAAGGTTTAAAGTGCTTTGCAGTGCTGTGCCGTGCTGTGTGGATTTCATTCCATAAAATGTTTATTTTTAATACTATAAGGGATTGCCACCCGTCATACCACCACACACAGTCCACCTGATAGTAACTAGATGGTGTGGCCCATATGCGTTGTCACCCCTGAGGACTAAGATGGAATGCCTTGTTGCCAGTAAAAAGGGTCTTCGGTTCTCTACACTCACTATCAAACACAGCAGTCTACAGCTGCTATTTTAGGCTAATATTCTGTCAGAGCGTAGGCCTGAGCCGACCCATTTCTACTACGACGATAATACAGCTGCAGCGACACTTTACTACGGCGATAATACAGCTGCAGCGACACTTTACTACGACGATAATACAGCTGCAGCGACACTTTACTACGACGACAATACAGCTGCAGCGACACTTTACTACGACGATAATACAGCTGCAGCGACACTTTACTACGACGACAATACAGCTGCAGCGACACTTTACTACGACGATAATACAGCTGCAGCGACACTTTACTACGACGATAATACAGCTGCAGCGACACTTTACTACGACGATAATACAGCTGCAGCGACACTTTACTACGACGACAATACAGCTGCAGCGACACTTTACTACGACGATAATACAGCTGCAGCGACACTTTACTACGACGATAATACAGCTGCAGCGACACTTTACTACGACGATAATACAGCTGCAGCGACACTTTACTACGACGACAATACAGCTGCAGCGACACTTTACTACGACGATAATACAGCTGCAGCGACACTTTACTACGACGATAATACAGCTGCAGCGACACTTTACTACGACGACAATACAGCTGCAGCGACACTTTACTACGACGACAATACAGCTGCAGCGACACTTTACTACGACGACAATACAGCTGCAGCGACACTTTACTACGACGATAATACAGCTGCAGCGACACTTTACTACGACGATAATACAGCTGCAGCGACACTTTACTACGACGATAATACAGCTGCAGCGACACTTTACTACGGCGATAATACAGCTGCAGCGACACTTTACTACGACGATAATACAGCTGCAGCGACACTTTACTACGACGATAATACAGCTGCAGCGACACTTTACTACGACGATAATACAGCTGCAGCGACACTTTACTACGACGACAATACAGCTGCAGCGACACTTTACTACGACGATAATACAGCTGCAGCGACACTTTACTACGACGATAATACAGCTGCAGCGACACTTTACTACGACGATAATACAGCTGCAGCGACACTTTACTACGACGATAATACAGCTGCAGCGACACTTTACTACGACGATAATACAGCTGCAGCGACACTTTACTACGACGACAATACAGCTGCAGCGACACTTTACTACGACGATAATACAGCTGCAGCGACACTTTACTACGACGACAATACAGCTGCAGCGACACTTTACTACGACGATAATACAGCTGCAGCGACACTTTACTACGACGATAATACAGCTGCAGCGACACTTTACTACGACGATAATACAGCTGCAGCGACACTTTACTACGACGACAATACAGCTGCAGCGACACTTTACTACGACGATAATACAGCTGCAGCGACACTTTACTACGACGACAATACAGCTGCAGCGACACTTTACTACGACGATAATACAGCTGCAGCGACACTTTACTACGACGATAATACAGCTGCAGCGACACTTTACTACGACGATAATACAGCTGCAGCGACACTTTACTACGACGACAATACAGCTGCAGCGACACTTTACTACGACGACAATACAGCTGCAGCGACACTTTACTACGACGATAATACAGCTGCAGCGACACTTTACTACGACGATAATACAGCTGCAGCGACACTTTACTACGACGACAATACAGCTGCAGCGACACTTTACTACGACGATAATACAGCTGCAGCGACACTTTACTACGACGATAATACAGCTGCAGCGACACTTTACTACGACGACAATACAGCTGCAGCGACACTTTACTACGACGATAATACAGCTGCAGCGACACTTTACTACGACGACAATACAGCTGCAGCGACACTTTACTACGACGATAATACAGCTGCAGCGACACTTTACTACGACGACAATACAGCTGCAGCGACACTTTACTACGACGACAATACAGCTGCAGCGACACTTTACTACGACGATAATACAGCTGCAGCGACACTTTACTACGACGACAATACAGCTGCAGCGACACTTTACTACGACGATAATACAGCTGCAGCGACACTTTACTACGACGACAATACAGCTGCAGCGACACTTTACTACGACGATAATACAGCTGCAGCGACACTTTACTACGACGACAATACAGCTGCAGCGACACTTTACTACGACGACAATACAGCTGCAGCGACACTTTACTACGACGATAATACAGCTGCAGCGACACTTTACTACGACGATAATACAGCTGCAGCGACACTTTACTACGACGACAATACAGCTGCAGCGACACTTTACTACGACGATAATACAGCTGCAGCGACACTTTACTACGACGATAATACAGCTGCAGCGACACTTTACTACGACGATAATACAGCTGCAGCGACACTTTACTACGACGATAATACAGCTGCAGCGACACTTTACTACGGACGATAATACAGCTGCAGCGACACTTTACTACGACGATAATACAGCTGCAGCGACACTTTACTACGACGACAATACAGCTGCAGCGACACTTTACTACGACGATAATACAGCTGCAGCGACACTTTACTACGACGATAATACAGCTGCAGCGACCTTTACACCAATACAGCTGCAGCGACACTTTACTACGACGACAATACAGCTGCAGCGACACTTTACTACGGCGATAATACAGCTGCAGCGACACTTTACTACGACGACAATACAGCTGCAGCGACACTTTACTACGACGATAATACAGCTGCAGCGACACTTTACTACGACGATAATACAGCTGCAGCGACACTTTACTACGACGACAATACAGCTGCAGCGACACTTTACTACGACGATAATACAGCTGCAGCGACACTTTACTACGACGACAATACAGCTGCAGCGACACTTTACTACGACGACAATACAGCTGCAGCGACACTTTACTACGACGACAATACAGCTGCAGCGACACTTTACTACGACGATAATACAGCTGCAGCGACACTTTACTACGACGACAATACAGCTGCAGCGACACTTTACTACGGCGATAATACAGCTGCAGCGACACTTTACTACGACGATAATACAGCTGCAGCGACACTTTACTACGACGATAATACAGCTGCAGCGACACTTTACTACGGCGATAATACAGCTGCAGCGACACTTTACTACGTAAAATGTATTTGCGAAAAAAGGCTTAAATTGTTAAAGATCTTCATCGTTTAAGGGAGAATATAAGCCAAATCTTTCTCTAAGTTACTACAGAAGCACGTATTGATTGAATGTACTCTAATCGCAATAAGAGAATGAAACCAATCCAAAAACGTCAAAACGTGTACATCTGTTATAAAATTGATATCAGATTCCTGAAAAGGTCTATGTTCCCGCCTCGCGGGAAAGGACGGGGACCAAGACCTTATGGTGTTCTACCTTTGATGCACATTGGTAGGGTCACAGAAAGCATTCGCACAGATAGCCTTGCCAGCGTCCGCGAAACTCGTCGGCCCCTCGACTTTTTTATCATCACAAATTTATTTTCCAGTGATCAAATAGACTCAGATAGCACTGTGTAATGTTTTCTTTGTAAATCTGGTGTGGCTTATGAACTTACAGTCCACCTGATGTTAAATGGATACTGCACTCCATGGACATCTGCAGAAGACCTCGAATAAAGAAGGCTACAGATGGGTTGTCACCTCTGACGACTAAGATGAAATGCCTAATGGCCTGTAATTATACTGGAACACACTGCTTGCACTGCTATTTGGCGGCGAGACGGACTCCTAAGATATGTTGTCTCTATTATAAACGTAAAAATATTTATAATATACCAGAATAATCGCCACAACCTACGCCAGCCGCTATCCGAATAGTCCCCCCCCAAATTAATCACAGTGACGGGAGTGCGCCGTCGCGCCTAAAAAATGAGTCCCGGCCGAGACACGCATTAGATAGCATCGAAAGTAGTGAGTGATCTACGAAAACTGAATTACAACTCCAGGAAAGATATTTTAACCAAAACAATCAACGTTGAACCAAAATCATCATCAATAGTGCTGTAAAATGTTGATATGATTTACAGGGTTACAGGCCATTTCATAATAGGAATATGTTTATAATTTTTACTTGTTTCTGCGTTCAAAAAAATATCTTGAAAGATTTATCAGTTTTTTCGGTTCTAAGCACCTACGGTACATGTCACTTACCTAACATAATTCTAGAAACTAGAAATGGATTATTTAAATATTTAGACTAGGATTTAGACTATGGGTGCGTTTGGCAGAAGAAAGCGCTAGCAAGCGCTTGTAAGCAAAATGGCGATCGTAAGCGGTAAGCGCTGTCAAATCGTAAGCAGCTATTTTCCTCCAGGACACGATGTTAGTTTTAACCGGGGAACTTAACCTAATTTAAACATATGTTTGTAAAGTATTCATATTAAAAACTTACCAATCATGAATTTTTAATAACATGTATATGTTTATTCAGTCATTATATTACTTAAAACTAATATTGCACAAAACAACTTATAAACTCTACTTCAAAACAAACAAATTAAATAAGCAAAATGGCGGATTTTGTCAGCGCTACTGAAGTAGCAATCGTGTCCTGGCCGAAAACAATTTCAGCGCTTGTAAGCGCTTGCTAGCGCTTTTTTCTGCCAAACGCACCCAATGATTAGGCGCTTCAATTCTACGAAAAATATGTCTATAATAAAATCAAATTGTCTAATTATGAAAAGTTTGTGATTCTTTCATTAAGAGGGTACAACCGGACATGCGGCTTAACTGATGGTACGTGACACCACTGCCCATGAACAACTACAACACCAGGGGAATGATTACACCAAAAAAGGTGTTTCAATAACTTACTATTAAATTTAAGTCAACTTATATTTTTAATGTCAACGAATAATAAGGTGATTTGAAACATTAAAAAGTATATTCTGTGTATTAGAAATCAAAAAATATTACAAGTAAAACCAACCGCACATAATAAACTTTCGACTGCGAACTTAAACAATTTAGCAAAAACCCTTCTATATACGTAAGTAGTTTTCCCAATTATTCATTCCACGTGAACTGCATTTAGAACCTTGAAAAATTTATTTATATTAGGTGCTCTTTCCCTTTAAGTCGAACGTGTTACATTTTTTGGCCAAAGAGAAATTTAGATGGGATACAAATTAACATAAGTCATCCTTACCTCCCACATAAGAAGCATGCTCTTGTCCCAATATGTCCACTTTATTCTGAGAAAGGATAATGAAACGTAAAAAGAAAACCTTATTTATTTCCGTACGCTTCGAGGCCCTTTCGAGACTCTCTTGGGCAAACTCGTAAATTTCCTCTGATTTTCTTGCGATCTGCTGACAGACTTGGTTACATTAACCGCTTTAGGTATGGACAGTAGTTTTTATCGACCGTCCGTTGAATGATTCAAGTCCTTCGTAACAATATAGGGAATTGATGCGACCTTTGTTTAACGAGCGCAATTTGTGCTCTCAATTGTGTCAGGACTACTTCAACTGTTGCTCTGAAGTCAACTGTAATCATAGAGCATTGAACTCAATTTGCGTCGTTATGATGATTGGAGTTAAAAGGTATGTTTTTCTTGTGATTTTGACACCTGATATAATCCGTAATGGAAGACGATGGCTGCCATATTTTTAGGTCATAGTTGCAAATGTATGGTGGACTTGTGTGAGTTTTACATTTTGTATTTTATAGGAAATACTTTAAATGCTTTTTTATTATTATATACAAAAATGGTTACGCAATTATCATTGAACGAAAAACAGACAAAAAGTAAATAGTTGCAGAATTTCACTGTTCACTTTTAATTTCAAATTAATTTTGTAAACCAAACTAGTTGTTCGAGTGTATTGAGTAGTTAAATGGACCTTTACAGTCAAATGAAGACTTATATAACAAGGGTAAACAGTGGTGTATCAAGTAAAAGATCTTTGTGCGGTGCGTGACGTGGTGCGCACGCGTCTCACGCACGCATACGCTGTCCTTGCGCTGTGAACTTTGTCGTTCATCACCACTGCTGAGACATGTCATGCACACGGTTGCCGATTGCTTTGCCTTTCTAAAACTGGTAATACAAAAGTGAAAAGGCGCTGCTCATATACCTGGGCACGAGCCTCCTCTAAATTCTGAGCGGGTTTAAATTGGGTAATAAATTTAATTGGTAATGAAAAATGTAGTGTTGCGTAAAGGTTTTTGTCCAAAAAGTAATAGGTATACAATAAAGAAAAATATAAAATGTATTTTGTTTTATTTTTTCACTTTAAGTCGAAAATAACAAGCACCTTAATAAAAAAATCGATAGAATAAAATGTTAAAAAATAACATAGATTATCTTTAATAATTAGAGTTTAATTAAACCTTCCTTGACCAGACGCTTTGAGCGTAGCTAGAATCGATTCGAAGATGAACAGAAAAACCCATTGGTAGTGTCTCATCGGACAAAAGAAAAAAGATTAAAAATATCGCAAACTATCTTAAAGACATGGGAACAGTAATCTATATGAGTAACCGCAGACTGCACATAGCTTTTTCAGCCATGCCGCATACAAGATTTTGTTGCGTTCAATGAAACTATAGTATTGTTTAGTCTCGTAATCTTTAATTATGACAACTCTTTCGTCAGAGATAAGTCTGCAGAAAAATGGACTTTATTTTGTTATGTCCTTGATGACTTCATGACATCCGCCGCTATTGACAGGATAGTCTCGAGCATATTATCCTTTTTATAGTTTATTGCGCGTAAACCAATTTGATGCAACGTTTTTTTCAACCTTTCTTTTTATCTGGTGGAGGCATGTTGTAGCTATATTATGTTTGTAGCATGACTGGGTCAGCTCGGCCGGGTATTGACTACGCTCTCACACAATACCGACGTAAAATAGATACTTTATGCCGCTGTGTATCATATGGTTAGTGATAGAGAACTTTTTTACTGAAAACTAGGGCGTTCCATCTTAGTCCGCAGGGCTAGAAACCATCAGGCGGACTGTGTGCTCCACTGTTCTTTTCACCTTATTTCATAAAAAAAGTTAACTAAATTGTTGCAGATTTTTGTTTACCTAAAAAGCAAATAATTCATTGGAACTGGGACTTAATATACCTACAATAATTATTAATAACGCTATTTTATATTTAAAAAATATGTTCAATTCTAATTACGCCTATCAAGAGCCTATTTCACTAAAATTATGACGTTAAGAGGGTAGATGAAACTTCCTGTGAAGACCACAAAAGCGCAGCATTAAAAAGCGAAAAAGGGACTCCGACAAGGAACACAATCGATCGACTAGCCGGTCTGACCGCACTGTCTATGTTGTGGTGGATATGAAATACTCTATCGGCTACGTTTTAGCTAGCGTATCGTTATTAGTTTGAACAACTTAGTCTGCCTACTTACTATAATTATTAAGAAATGAGTTTTTATTGAAT